CGATGATGCACAGCTCGTGATTACAGTGAAAAAGCGTGACCTCACTGTTCACACGCGACGGGTGAAGGGTGCACTACGCACCCTAGCTCAGTCAACACTCGATGCAATTTAGCTCCAGTAAATCGACGCTGATTTTGGCTACGTAAAACACCACCTCCGGAAAGAAATACTTCTACTAAGTCCACTATAATCATCGCACTGGTACTTTCAGCAGTGACCACCGGTGACACCACCGTACGGGGGAAGCGTCCTTTCTTATCGTCCTCCCGTCTATATCCCAAACAACCAGCTTCCACGACAAATTGCTTTTTTGCACAGATTTTCCCCATGGGCCCCTATCTCTAACTCTCAACATATGATCTAGTTTGCTCACATAGATAGAAGAGCATTACTACAAAATGCTAGTATGATGCTACCAGGGCTCCAGGAGATCGCTCGGTAATATTCCTCTATATCGGCCGAGCACTTTAAATATCTTCCGTGCCTAGAGTCTTCAGACGAGATTAAGAGGCGACTGGATCATCACGTGCCTGCAAACCTGGCTGTTAGCCATTTTTAAGGGAAAGGTGAAAACCGATATTGAATTCCAGCATGCTTTCCGCCATTCATTACCTTTGATTGTCCAGGTACCAGCGCTATTCTCGTACGCACTCGGTCCATGCCATCACGCGCTATCACCACTTCCACCATCATGCTTTTACAGTAGGTTTAGGTCGTAGATAGATGCAGCCTGTCATCTGTCGTACCCTTTCTGGACATTGAAACATCTTGGTTATGGATGCATTGCACGATGAGGTTATTAGTGACATATTCACCCCTTGCCGTACTCGGAGCACTTGATGGAAGTTTTGATGAAGCTTGGGGTTATTGCCACATCTTAACGGCATCATTACACCTTTACGGCATCGTCTTACCGAAAGCTTTGGTGAGGTTGAGTTTCGATTAAACACACGATACAAAATAAAGGGAGTCTGAGCCAGGCTCGGGCGGAGGGACGGAAGACCTTCCCCCTAAAGGGACTGTTCAACATCCGTATGGGGGGGGGGGGGAGGGGTTTGAGCTGATGCTATCATCTTCAAGATAATTTTCTGCCGTTTACATCCATGTCTGTCTTAAGACTTAAGAACATATCGCTTCTGAGCTTGATGCGGACAAAGTCGCGCAACCTATTACGCACCGCCTAAGGGTATGTCAACCACATATGCATGACGTAACAGAGACGACTGGTAAACAGCCCCCCCCCCCCATTGGCTGGGTCGTGCTCATGGTCAATAAAAAATGAACACTTAAACATTCGCGTTGGCGGTGACACACCACTAAGTGTGCCAATGATAGAAAACAAGTGGATTAAACATTCGTGGTTGCGGTCATACACCACTAAGTGCCCCAACGATAGAAAACAAGTGGCTAACAGTCAGATTGTGCTGTTGATTGCATACCTCGATCACGGACCAGATTTCGCCATCCATAACACAGACACTTGGGCATGTACTATACATGACTTGCAGGGCACTGATAATCGAACAAGTTAAGGACAGCACCGTAACGTAAAGCGTAAATGCAAGTAATAAACATGTCTTCATAGAAAAATGTTCAAGAGCACCACGGGAAAAGGCAAACACACGCACGCTCTCATAACGCTTGTACGTTGAATTCGCCTGCATAAATCAACAAGCCAACTTGCGGCGCGTAAAAGTACCAGAAGTGAGTCACGCCGTCCGCTACTACAGGAACTCTGGCCCAGGAGCTCTGGCAGCGACTCTGACGTTATGAAAAGGTCTTTAACGTACCCAGACAACATCGTATTTGATGGCCCCATCGTTCATCTTGTGCGCGAATTATTCCAACAAGTGGCTTATTGTTTGAGTTTGTAAAATTCCAACAGTCGTATGGGTGCAATGTTAAAACGGGACAGCAATGCGACCACATTCGCACGCTATGATTCATCCCGTCGCATCCTGCAATTTTGCAAAAAAAGAACAAGACAGCGATTGATTATCACTTTACTGACTTAAATAATAAGTCATGTTTTCTTTAAACTGACTATTTAACTACTTGAATTGAAAAGTTAAGTTCTCTAAGCCCTACGCAATGCACTGAACGATTTTGCAAGATTTGTTGGTCGAATTTCGCAGGATTTCGGAGGAAAATTGACAATTGGCTCTCGTGAGAGATTTTGATACGTACCTGAGGATATGGTGCTAAAATTTTCGTGGGCATTAAAACGCTTCATCTTCACGCTGGGCTGGAAAATCTCTACAGGGACTGCGCCACATTTGAAAATATCGGGGCAAGCATTATATTTGATGGAAAAAGCTCGTTTGTAGCCATCACAATATTTTAAGAGCAAAAGACTACCCTGAACAACAAAACTGCACTCAAGGGTAAATATGGGCCTAACTACGTCATCATTTAATTACGTTAAGGCACGTTTCTATGACGACAGAGTCGCTGCCAGAGTGGCTGCGTCAGAGTGGCTGCTGTAGCGGACGGCACGGCACGCGCGCGAGAGTTCTGCGCGCCACAAGGGGGCTTGTTCATTCATGCGTGTGAATTCGATGAACAGCGTTGTGTGCGTGTATTTTGTCTTTTTCTCGAGGAGTCCTTGCATTTTTTGCTGTGATGCTATGCACCTTAGCTGCATTTGCATATTTGGTTACGGCGCCAGTCCTAAGTTATTCGATTATCAGTCTCACGTCAGTCATATCTGGTAGTTGCCCAAATCCCCGTGTTAGTTATGGCGAAACGCGGTTCGTGATCGAGACATGCAATCAGCAGCGCAATCTGACTGTTCGCCAACTGCCCTCTATCTTTCGGACGCCCGGTGCTGAATCATCGCAAACACGAATGTTTCAATCAAGCACGTTTATATGTTTATTCCCGATCGTAGATAATGCGTGCGGTTTCAGCTCCCATATCTCACGGCGACAGCATCGCGTGCAGGTACGTCTTGATACGGCCTGCTGAGCCCAGTGCCATCGCTATTGGCGCGTGCCGCGTGCACACCACCGCACGCTCCGCTACTCTCGGTTCCGTGTCTCCCGCTGGCGCGGTGATCGCTAACACAGCTGTATGCCCCTGCTGCCGGTAGTGGTGCAGAATATTGCGTTATCGGTCGCTGCGAGGGGCCGCCGGTCCCCGCTCCGTCGGCCTGCCTCCGAGGCCGCCCGCCGCCCGCCGATCCCATCAAATGCTTGTTACGTTTGAATCACACTAATCCGATTCGTCAGCAGCTCGGGGATGACGCAGAGAAGAGGGCGAGAACAGGGGGAGACGCCGGCGGCTAGGAGCAGGCAGGCAGCGAGCGAGGCCAAACGAGCCAGCTCGTGCGACCCACCCAGACTGGCTGAGGACCGCTGGTTACTGAGCGTGACCACACGCATCAAAGCGCAGCTTGCACCGCACAACCGCATGCACTCCTACATGGACATGGACGATCAAAGTATGACTTGCTTCTAGGCAAATAAATGCACCTCCTTCACCAGCGAACCTTCCAAAGATGTCTAAAATTCCGCACACCCGGCAGAATTAACCCTGCAACCAAGTCCTGTCACGTGGCCATGTATATGTGGCGACCAGTAAGCAAAGGGATCTGCCTGGATATTGCCCTGTGGCACAGACCAAACTGGAGGGGCCTACCGCCTGCACAGCCTAGAGCAGCCAGCTGTAGCCCACCGACCCAGCGCACGAGACCGGACGGCCCGTCTTTACTGTCTTACTGTACCCGATAGCACCATCTGGCGGGAGCTGGGAGTCGTGATCAGTCGGACGGACACCTCTCCGGAGATGGGAGTCAGGTGAGTCAGAAAGCTCCCCTCTCTGCGAGCGGAATCAGATGAGCCAGACGGCTTCCCTCCGGGAGATCGGGGCCAGAGGGTAAGTCAAACTCACCTCCGGGAGATCGGAGCCAGGGGGTGAGTCAGGGGCTTCCCTCCGAGAGATCGGAGTCAGAGGGTAAGCCAAAGGCTCCCTCCGGGAGATCGGAGCCAGAGGGTGAGTAAGAGGCTTCCCTCCGAGAGATCGGAGCCAGAGGGCAAGTCAGACTCCCCTCCGGGAGATTGGAGCCAGAGGGTGAGTCAAAGGCTTCCCTCCTGGAGATCGGAGCCAGAGGGTGAGTCAAAGGCTCCCCTCCTGGAGATCGGAGCCAGAGGGTGAGTCAGGGGCTTCCCTCCAGGGAGATCGGAATCAAACGATACGTCAGAGGCCCTCTCCGGGACATCGAAGTCAGGATGAGCCAGAGGCCCGAGATCGCCTGGTGATCTGGTTATCTCGTGATGCGGGCCCGAGTTTGAGGACCTGCCTGATTACTTGATCAGTGATCCGGTCCGCCTACAGGGAGTCTAATCATGCCAAGACATGCCAAGACATGCCAAACTCCACTGCCAAAGTATTTCAGCCACAAATCCTATTCATTTGCGTTGGCCATGTACAACGCGGCTGCGCTCCTCGGACGGTCGGAGAGGAGAGGGCGGTGGCGGACGACAGGTCGCCGCAGATGGCGCCAGCGACGCCGCGAAAGGTGGCGAAGCCATCGCCAGTGCCACGCGCAGCCAGCGGACGAGGGCTGTCACGCAAAGCACGCGACTTTCGGGGCTTCGCTTAAAACGAGACTAGGATAATGTCGAGGATAATGCAGTTTATTCCATAGCATCGTTACTTATGTACAGTACGCACGCTCTCGCACGCACGCCAACACACGCAGTTATACACGGGCACCCCCACAAACGGGCTGCCATGTACCGACAGCAGCCGGTAAACAAATCGAAAAGCCCGCCCTCCGATAACTGGTGCGCGCTCTGTATATCGACGCCTCTGCACGCTGCGCCCCATGGCGGTGACGGCTGTCACCGAGGCGCGTCCGCCGGCAGCGCGCGCCCCGAGCTGCGAGCCGGCGCCGGCCGCCCGGGAGGAGCGCAGTCCCGGGCCGGGCCGGCGCCGGCCGGAGAGCCGCCACACCGTCCGCCTCACTCCGCAGCCCGTCAGGCCGCCCCCCCCCCCCCTCCCGGCACACGCTCCACACCCCACTGGAGTGAAAGCGCGATTACCACAAAATAGCGTGCGGAAGATAAACTTGCACGGAAGTAAACGTTTCCAGATAACAACAAAAAGCATCGATACGCCTTGACAAATTTGACCTGAAAATAAAACTCAAGAAATGAAACAACGAAGCAAACGGAAGCCGCCGACTGGTCAGGACTCACGATATGAGGGAGACGCGGGGATCTTCACACCTGGAGCCGCTCGCAGCATGCATACAACGGCGTAACTATGGCGCTGCGCGGGCCGGGCCACCCCGCTCCGCGGTCAGCACGATACAAAACACTACCGAGTGCGGCAGCCGGCCTGGGGCGCGGCCTCGCGCCGGAATGTGTGGCGGCCGCCGGTCCGTCCCGCCCCGCCGTCGGCTCTAGTCGTGCTCCTCGTTGGTGGACTCGGTTGGCGAGGTGAGGTCGGTGTCGGCGCCGGCTTGCGATCCGACCGCGCCGCTCGCCGCCTCGCCCGCCTCCGACGGCGTCTGTGGGCTCTGCCGGCCGGCCGCCGGCCCACGTCAGACACGCGCAGCGGCGCCCGGCACTCACAACAGCACAGCACAGCACAACACAGTGCAGCGCAGCACAGCACAACACAGCAAAGTACGGCATAGCGGCGTCGTCCGCCCGCCGGACACACAGCGGCGTCGGCGTCCGCCTTCAAAACACATACGGCCACTAAAAACTCACGGACGACAAATATTGGACACGGGGAATTTCATCAGTTATCATTCAGCCGGCCATCAAGCCGGCCAACATACGACGCAGCAGTGAGACCGCGCACACCTGTTGCTCCGCCAAACTACGACAGCGTATGGCGCAGCATAGTGAGCCCGCGCACACGTGCTGCTCAGCCTGACCACGGCAACGTACGGCGCAACATAGTGAGCCCGCGCACACCTGCTGCTCAGCCAGACCACGGCAACGTACGGCGCAACATAGTGAGCCCGCGCACACGTGCTACCCAGCCAGACCACGGCAACGTACGGCGCAGCATAGTGAGCCCGCGCACACCTGCTGCTCAGCCAGACCACGGCAACGTACGGCGCAGCATAGTGAGCCCGCGCACACCTGCTGCTCAGCCAGACCACAGCGAGTCCGCGCATGCGTGTTGCTCAGCCTGACCACGCGTTTGCCTCGGAGGTCGTATGAACTGAAGCAGGTTCCAGCGTGTGTAACCGTGGACCGGGCGGGTCCCAGGGGTGTGCTGCTGTGGTCATGGTGGGACCGGTGATGTGATACCCAGCGCGCAATGGGTCCTGACGCGATGGCTATTGCATAGGCTTTAGCATGCTTCAAATGCATAGTTATGCACCAAAATCAGCGTCCAAAACCAGCGACGGCGGCACCATGTTGGCCCGTTTCGAAGCCGTCCCCTCGCGATCCGATTCGTAACAAGTGTAAAGGGTTGGCCAAGATCAGCAGAAGCAGCCTCCACGTGTAGCTGAGGATGTCCTGTTCACCTTTACGTGTTGCGGATAACTACCACAACCAATGGCCTGGGATGGTTGGCCCATTCCGATCCCGACCCCTACCACCAGCGGTTGCATACAAAACGGCGGCAGCAGGGCATCATCGCATCGCCGAGCACGATTTTGACGGCAAGTGTGTCACCGTGGGGGACGCAACCCGCCATGCATCACCGCCAGCGAGGAGTGTCAGCGTCGACGGGGTGTCGCCGCTGGAAAGACGTGATATCCTGCGGCTGGCTGTGTGCCACTGTGGGGTGTTGAATGGTGCGCGCTACCGCGGGCGTGGTAGGTACTGCAGTGGGCAGCATGTGCCACGGCCACTAACGCACGTGTAATGTGGCCTTTCGTGTACGGAGTGTTTGTATTGCCAACAAGGTGCGTTGCCGTGGGCAGGGTAGATGTTACCACGGGCCGTGTATGTTACCGTGGCAGCAGACGGGCCCGTGGTATGGTATCGTGGGTCTGGCCCATGTTACGGTGGACGGGGCGAGCAGCAGCAGACGGGCCGGTGGACATGCTATTGTGGCCCTGGCCCATGTTACGGTGAACAGGGCGTGCACCAGCAGACGGGCCGGTGGTACAGTGGACAGGGCGTGCACCAGCGGGCGGCGCGTTACCGTGGGCAGTGTGGTGGGCCGCTGCTGGATGTTGCCCTCGGCCAGCTGCTGCTGGATGCTGTTGATGGTGAGCGGCGTCTTGGGCTCGTCGGCCATCGCCTGGTCGGCCGTCGAGCGTCGCGCCCGCTCTCCCTTCCGCCAGAGCGTGATCTCCTGCCGGAGCCAGCCGACCCGCCGCGTCAGCACGCACGCACGCCGCGCCAGGCCGGCGACCACACAACGCCGGGTCGACAGGGATTGCAGCGCACGTTCTACCGTAATGCAGAACGACCACGGTTAACATTATGACCCTTTGTACACAGGCACCACCGTTGGAGTCGCGATGTATATATGCACATAGGTCAAAGAGACAAGACTTTATGGCATTTACAAGAGGGCTTGATACATGCTGCTATAGTTGACTGATATCAGTCAGGCCAATTCCAACCAATAATTTTCACCAGCAAGTGACTATCACACGGCACAGGCGGCCCATTGTTTTCCGATGACAATAACCGCAGCTTTTGTGGCGCTCAATAGCCACATCTACTGATGCCACAATACCCCGCACATCACCATGGTCCTTTCATAGTCTGCCCACAGACATGCCAAGCACAATGTGTTCAGGACTTAATGCGGCAAGACCCCGCCCGCGTAAACGTCCGATGCATATGGCAGCGGGTGTGCAAGATACCATAGCACGGGCCGTCAGCGCCCACGCACAGCTGGGCGGGTGCCAGGCTCTGACGGCCGCCGGCCGCCGGCGGTGTGTCACCTGCTGTTTGAAGTAGCGCCGGTCCTCCTCGTCGACGAGCACCAGGTTCAGGTAGTAGCGCACCGAGAACTTCTTGTTGATGTCGCGCATTGTGGGCGTGAGGTCGTAGCCGGCCAGGAAGACCCGGATCGGAATGCTCTCGCCCCGCACCGGCGCGCCGTCCATGATCTCGTACTTGGCGATCGTCTCGTTCTCGTTGAACGTGTTGGGACCTGCCCGGGCGTACGCGTGAGGCGGGGCCCACAGCCGGCGCGGCGGCGGTGCACTGTGCTCGGGTGGACGGCACGCGGCCGGAGCGCGCGCCGCCGCCCAGCCGGTGCTGAGTCCTTCTCGGGGCGTGCGTTCAGCGGCTGATGCCAAGCTGAATTGGCGAAGAAGACGTCGCCGCCGGCCCTCCTTCTCCTCCGCCCGTTGGGGCACGCGGTTACGAGTACCCAGCCGCCTTGCCCAGCCAATATGGGGCATTCGGGACCCAGTTACACCGGCGCGGTGCGCCGCGGAACAGCTGCACTGAGCCTGCTACACGCTCGTCTCTGGCAGTGGGAGAACCGAGCGGAACCACGGTCCTCTCAGGAGAAACAAAGAACATTCATGACAATGTCCAGAGAAACAAAGGATATTCATGGCAATGTTCAAACTAGATATGGAAGTACGTGAATAAGGAGCGACACATACCAACATCGCGACACATCACTGAGCAGAAAACACACGGTCATGCGCAGGCTCACCTGATCCGGTCGTTTCTCGTTTCATGATTGCCACTTCCATGTGTTTGATCTTTATTCGCACGAGGAGGAAATATATTTTCCCCACGATGACGTCCTTTAAGTGATACCTAAAGGAGACAGCAACGTCACTGCAAGCAAGGCTGACTGGTTGCAGTAACAAACACTCCCCAAGGTCTCGTGCAAACCCATATTTTACAGCAAGAGTAGAGTCCTTCAAATCCAAGTCGATCAGCATCAGCGCGGTACAGCCTCAGACAGCGCGAGTCTTCATACATTGGAGTGTGGTAGCCGGCGAACATGCTAACACGGCGTCGGGCGAACCAACAAAAATGAACTCAAGCCTGTAAAGCCTCAATCCTCTCGACTCGATCAAAGTTAACACTCCCATCAGACACCACACCAGAAATTTCACCCTGCCCCGCCGTTCCGACCGCCACCCGCCGCGCTCACTTGGACTTGTTGTACTCGAACTCGATGTGAAGGCAGTCCTCGATGCCGACCTCCATCTTGATGCTGGTGTTCATGTCCGGGTACTGGGAGAGCGTGTGCACGGCGATGTCCATCTCGCGCACCAGGTCCGACAGGCGGCGCACGATCGTCACGCGCAGGAAGTACCTGTCGTCACATCACGCGCGTGACACGTGACGCCTAACGGAGAGTGACGCGTGACAGCGGAGAGACGTCAAGGGCAGCGGTCACACGACCGCAGGCAGGGGTGCACCGCGCGTCGCGTAAACGGACAGCGTAGCACGGGAGTGGGGGCGGGACGAAGAGACAGTGCATAACGCAATTAGCATCAGGGATGCAGAGAATGCGGCACTGGATCCGGACAAGACACGCGTAAATCAACGTCACGCAACGCTGGCCGGTACACGACGTCTGTACCGAAGATTATGCGTGAGCGTTGCCACCTCGGGCGCAACAGGGTCCGCCATCAGGTCTCCCCCCCCCCCCCCATCGCTGCAGGCCGTCTGAGGACCTGGATTCGCGCAGGGGGTCGGGACTCGGCCGGCACCTCCCTGAGTCCCGGACTCCAGTCGACCGATCAGCTCGCAGGCGGTGCTCACGATTTCTCGCGGTCTTTTCTACGCAATGACAACTTGAACAAATACGGCGTCAATGACAGCACCCATCAAATGATAGACAAATGGTTGGGATCATACCAATCACATACCTCGTGACAACCTACAGGACAATGAACAGCTTACGATGGCAATCATTGGTCCATATTTTCAGCTCGGCATTCTAACGGAATTTCCGCATGTTTCAAATATGAGCTTTCACATTCTCAAATAAACGCAATTTCCTCAACCTGTTATTTTGGTTACCAAAGGTGTGTCATTTGTAGTTTCAAAGTGCCACTCACGTACAATTCATATGCTACTGTGTGCAACACCTGAAGGCAGGATCATATAGACGTCTTGCATCGAAGCATCTAAACTATTTCATGCTTATTGGTAGCGCCCGGAAATACATAAGATTCATGTAACAGGCTTTCCAAACCCACCACGGAACTGTGATTGGTATATTATGAATTGCAGTTAAGTGGGCATATATAGGACACCAAGTCTAATCTTGTGTTGGAGCTTCACTACCGAAATGACATCCCACGGTCACCCACAAAACCAGTTGGTACTGAGCTGCCATCTGAACTGCCACGCTCATACCATCGTAGTCGCACGCGTCATAAAATATATAGAACGAGCAATTATTCAACAACATGGTCTAGAGACTACAGCACCAGGAGCATGAGGGACCCTTCCAGTCCCTCCCACACTGGAAACAGCTTAGCAGCCTGAAGATGTCTCGTTCCCACGCCAAACGGCACTCCTAAACGTCACTGCAGCTCGTGGAATAATTTGGCCCGGGCACACCCAAGGACTTCTGCTAAATACATTGGACATATCAAAACTGCTTCCCCAATTTCTTTCCTCTGAGTTGAACCATTTGCAAGGTGCATAAAGTTGGTTGCATAGAGACGTTTCTGTAGCTTGTGGAACACTTTTGCTTGGATACATCCCAACACCTGCTGTTAAACACATTTAATTTATGATCATGGCTAAAGTCATTACAGCTTTCTGACATTCTTTTCCAAGATGTCAAAGCCATGATCTAAAAACATAGGTTTCGGCCCAAACTGCTGCAAAACAATAATTATCCCCTAATATTCCTATCAAAGAAAAAATACCACTTTTGGAACATTTTGCTCACAGACCACATTCATATGGAGCCTTGCTACAAGCAATGACCATGTGAAACTATCACTGGTGCCATAGGATCCAATGCTAAATACGAAGCTCTGCATTTACTACAAGAGCGACGGCCGGGAGAGGGTCGCGCGACTTTCCACGCACCGGCTCCCAAATGATCTTTTGGTGGCTCAAAACCCTTTGAGCCAGGCTAAGACTACCAGACTTTGACAACCAGACTCAGGCAATTTTGTACCAAGCTGAAAGTACCGAAGTTTGAATACACGTGCTCAGACCACACAGCGATACCAAGGACGTTATTTTGTCGGGCCTGAGTATGGCCACGGCTGCAGCTTCCGCACGCACCTGAGCCGGACGTTGGAGCCCGTGTAGGACTCGTACGGCTTCTCCACTTGGTTGAAGTCGAAGGGGTAGCTGACGTTCTGCTGCAGCTCGCCCGGCCTGGCCAGCTCCTTGACCAGCGACAGGAACTCGTGGTGGTTGCCGCGGTCGTAGTACATCTCGATCTGGCCGATGAACTCGATCTTGACGCCGTGGTGCTCCAGCTTGGAGCCGGCCTTCTTCAGCGTGATGTTCACCTGAGGTGAGCCCGGGCGTCATCAATGCATGAGTCGGACCCAACACGGAGGAGGTGGGCCTCCGGGAACCACACACCGCACACCGCACCGCACCGCATACGGATGGCTAACCTCGAGGAAGAGGCTGCTATGCTCCTGGGTCATAAAAGAGGTCATATAAAGGAAATCATTAAAACAGTTTCATATAACACATTTTGAAGATGCCAAAACACCACAGCATGATGAAGCAAGACATTTCATATACATTCCGGTTGACGAATAATGAACATTACACATTTCACCATTCAGACAGTGGCACGAGGCCGGAGTCATCACACACCGCTAACTGCCAGGTGCGTGGCCGCTGATGACCTCTGTGACTGACCTTTCCGGCCACAGTCTCGCCGTCGTAGAAGAGGTAGTATCGGTCCTTCTTGCCATCCTCAGTCTTGACTTCAGCCATCTTGCGCGTGTCGGCGCCATCCAGCACGATGTCGATGTCGGCGCTCTGGCCGAATCCGAAGAAGCTCTGCAAGAGAGCAGAACATCATCAGCAGAGGGCACAGGGCAACGCACAGGGGCTCTGGCCGAATCTGATGAAGCTCTGCACAAAGGCAGAGGAATGTCAGTAGAGGGCACAAGGGCCACACAACTCCACGCATGCATGCTTGACTGCTGACACAGAGAACAATCCAACTGCATCAGTGACATATGGAGTTTAATATAGCAACATATAAGATGTGCTTACATTAGTAGCATACCCACACTACAGTATACATAGCATTCATAACATAATATACACGGTTATACCCTCTGATAGAGCAATCAGGCACAACTAACCATCGCTGTTGACATACACTACCCAATAACTAATGACCGGCCAAAGACAACAGATTTAGCAACCCTATCGCCAAAAGCAAGTCACAGTAACTTCAGTTGAAATTCTTGGACAGGTCAAAACCATCACCCCTGGTCATTGGCGTCAATGCTGCAAGGCCTCAGCACAACACTGCATTGATGATGTGAAGACTCAGTGCACTGCAAGCCACCAAACCATGCAATGGCACCTGGGTACAATATTGTCACATATTTTATCTGTTTAAATGATGGTGTTCCCTGAGAGAATCTCTGTACCCCATATATAACTGTATGATTATGTTTGCTTATGTGACATTGTTACAACACACAAATGCATTCAGTACCTTTATGCTGCTACATCACTTACTTCTTAGTGTCTTGTTGCTAGTATGCTTTTTTGCCTTAACCATGCTATCAAGAACACCCATTAAACTATTTATCATAATGCTTTATTTGGTGATCAGCTAAGGCTAGACTAGCACCAGCTATAGCCACAGCTTTGTGATTTGGGAGGGTGCAGGAGATTTGGATGGTCTATTCAGATTAAATAACAACTTGACATTCCCTCTTATCTTTGCCCTCCTGATCGCTTGTGATTTCACTGATTTCAGTGCAGTACTAACTTAATCCAGGTCACAAGCTTTCAGTTCAGAACTCATTCACAAAAAAATGATCCATAAGGTTCCCAGACCTTGGTATTTACAGATTCCAGAGCAGCATGTGCTCCAGGTGCTTTACATGTATTTCAAGGCCAAATGGCACTTTTGAATATCAGGTAAACTTTAAATTCACACCAGAGCTGGAACCATTTTTCTTTTTAATAGTACCTTCACAATAACCTGACAATAATCACAACCGCCCCATGCTTTATTCCAAACAAAAGATAATCAAGATTGATATTTTATTTACAATCGGGCTGCTCTGCAGCAGTTGTCAAAGCTGCCTCTATTACCTAATGGCACGACCTTAACTTGTGAAAACAAATATTTGCTCCAGTTTTGCCCTTCACAACACATATATACAACACAAACAAATCCTATGGATGGTGCCATGCACATACAAACTAGCAAAAAGAAACAAAAAGTACTATTTATCTTATCAAGGACATACATGGAATGTGTGGAACAAACACCACATCATCAAATTTAGCTCTACACTCTGTTGATGTGATCCACAGCTGTGCATGCATTCTGACTAAGCAGGTACACCACAATTTCAAATACTGAGGCCAGAAATCCTCTCATTAAATTGGTTCCTACTAGCCTACTGAGAAAATCTGTACATGACTAGCATCAATGAGAAAATTTCATCTGGGTCACCCAGACTTTCAAAGAATTATTGCATTAAAATATGTTACAACCCAAACCCACTCCTGCTTGATGAGGTTTTGAGGCGTAGTTCTGTTCGCTAACAGTTTTTAGGTATCTGGTTTCAGAAACACATCACATTACCTTATGCCTTTTCATATCACATAATACATTTGAAAGGGTGAAATCCCTCCATCCTGAAAGAGAATCTACAGCTGATGCACCAGCATCTCACTTGAGTGTTTTATGTAGTGGAATAATGGCAACTGGTGATAATGCTTTACTCAACAAAAATTTGCGTTTTGTAAAAGAAAACTTAACAAAATGCCCATCAATCTTGCGCTGAATGCAGAGCTATGAAATTCTGATAGTCATCTGACTCAATTAGCCAAATCCTGACTATTGTACAATTCAGCATGAAATGATCTAACACAAATAGCACAACACTTTTCTGAATAGCTCGCATCACAGTGTCAAGCAAAACAGTAAAACTTGCCATATGCATAGTGCAACTGACATGTTTCAGCTGTCAAATAACACACATACATACCATTTTGAACACGTAGCGACGGTTTCAACACACGATGTTTATGGCGGGACAATACAATGTGCAAATGCAACAGCACTAACATAGGCTGTTTTCCGGTCACTCAACTACCATGCTTCTTGGATGAATTATAATGCATAAACGTTCTCTGTTAACAATCCAACCCAACCCCTCCGGCCCACTGACGCATAATAACCTCCGGCTTCCCCGCTGATGGCACGACCGAGGGGCCACCAAAAGGAAGGAGACATAAACGGAGAATGTGAGACAGCGACGCATCCATTCTTTACAGCTGACTTTGTCACAGTGGAACAATGGACGAAATTCAAGCAGTGAGCGGGCCAACAACAATGTTAGGGCCATGGGCGTCTTTTTGATACGCTCTGAGAGTCTGAGCACAACCCCATGCTGACTAGAGCTCCCCAGTGCTCTTCTGAGCCCCTCCACCAGTGATGGAACCAAAGGGATAACTGATGGTAACCGCTATTTTCCAGAGTCCCTTATTCTCCAGGAGGCATCAAAAGGCAGTGTTGGAACTTCTTGCTGTTCATTTGGGGAATGGGGGACGAACCCATAAAGCTTACCCGTCTTAGTACCTAGATGAGCATAAGACAGGAAGTGCGCTTAGTTATTTTCTTGTGTTTGTTCATAGACGTCTCATGGATACCGAAAATGTAATGAAACAGTGTTCATCTTGTTTTGGTTTAAAGACGGTTTATTTGCTGGAGAAAAACCAGCCACTACTGGGCCACAGCACTTCACTGTCAAAGAAGGCACCGAACGTGCCCAAAAATGGTGCCGTTTTTTAGGCCGTTCCAGGAGGCTGTGGGAAAGGAGTGATTTTCATTAACTGCTGGGCTCCTCCCGGAAGAACCAGCCACTGGAACAAAAGACAATCTTCATTGAATGGCACAATGGCAACGCTCTAGCACTGCTGAAATTTAATTGTCTCGATCTTCTCTTGGCAATCAAACGATGTTATTCAGCGGGTTGTGGATCCCGAAAAAGGGAGAGGCATGCCATCCACCTCCTTTGACCACTCATGAGCTTTTGATGCCATGAAAGGGGACCAAAACCTTGTGGTAAAGGGATGCCAAAACGTTTATTTTGGGGCGCCATTGGCTATATTTTCAAGGATAATTTTCAAGAGAATTCATAACCTTTATTTTCCGGAGGCACCCAGTTCCAGGGGGCATCATAAAAGGTCTAATATATTCATTTTCAACACAACAAACTTTACCGGGCACCGCAACTGGAGCGGATCCAGAGCGGGGAGGCACGGGCCCATGGCCCCTCCCTTGGGGCGGAAAGGGGCGGACAAGCCCTGTATTAGTCAAAAGCTCCAGTACCGAACGAGGGGTCACCCGTACCGTTTCAGCCAGGGGCCGTTAAGCCGAATCGGTGTCTCGACACCAAAAACTGGACTCCCTGCGCCGACCTGGGATCCGTTGGCATGAGAGAAGGCCCCGCGTCGATTCGGTGCCAGTTGTCCCTGTCAGAAGGCCTGCCTCTTGGCTGGACTTCGGTGTTCCGCCTTCTTTTGAGCCTCGCCTAAGGTACTGAAAGCTCCACCTATTCGAGGGCAGAGTATCGGGCTTTGTTCAAGGCGCCGGGGCCTTGCAATTTTTTCTAAAAATCGGACTGACTGACATGACTAACAATTGAAATAGTTTGCCATACATGCAGGACTGTCTCAAGAAGAGAGTGATAATTTTCGTAGAATGCTTTATAATAAAATGCAAGAAAGTGCCCCTACGTCAATAAATCAATGGTCCAATCAAGCAAAAAATGTATGTTGCTGGTCTCTGCCATAATGGTGCCTATGAGTTTTTTCATCCCGCTCAGCTGTTAATTTTATAAATATGTTCAGTGCTAGCCACACCTTCTATAAATACTTGTTGATCGTGACCTTACGAGATAATTTTTAAAAAAAACATAGAACGCCTGTTGAAAATAATTTAACGGATCTTTTTATGCAATGCCCAAAGATCTCGGCCAGTTTAAAGGGAATGCTCCATATTTGAAGATATCAAAGCAGGCATCAGACATAATAAAATAAGCTCACTTATAGTTGTTGCCATGTATTTAACACACGCCCGGGCGGCCGGTTGGATGCGTTTCGCTCGGATGGACGTCAATTTGACTCCTCTGAGATCTCGGAATCTAAGAGAGCTAGAGACACCAAATCCACAGAGCATCTTGACCTGTACGTAAACTCTCTTAGGTCAAAGTTTGAGGTTCCTAGGTCATGATCTTTGGGTCAAATAAGGTCAAACGAGGTATAATTCCAGATTGGTCTTCAAAGAGCCCCTAGAATCTACGCAATTGTTCTAAGAAAAATGTTACACTGTCAGTTAAGGCCAGTGACCTTGTTAGACCTTTTAACACGCGCCCGGGTGGCCGGTTGGATAGCTTTCGCTCGGGTGGAGGGGGTCAATCTGATCCCTGAGATCTCAGGAACTAGGAGAGCTATACACCATATCCACAGGGTGTATTGACCTGTACGTGAACTCACTTTGGTCAAAGTCTGAGGTTTCTAGCTCATGACCTTCAGTTCAGCTAAGGTCAAACAAGGTATAATTCCAGATTGGTCTCCAAAGGGCCCCTAGAACCTAGGCAACTGTTCTAAGCAAGATGTCACACGCCCAGTTAAGATCAGGGACCTTGTTTGACCTTTCAAAGGCCATAAGAACCAAAATGATATAAGGCTGTTTTGAGTTTTGCATTTGGATAAGCGACAAAACAAAATGTTGACCCCGGTCATTTTAGGTCGATGACCTATTCTAACCTATAATAGGTCCTCGGAAGGTGTATACTATGGTTCCTGCTATCAATATATTCGAAATGGGCACCAGAAACTAGCTCAAACAGCAAGCTCGAGAGTAATAAGACAGGTTAGTTTTGACCCTGGTCTGACCTTCATGCCTGACTCTAGGTCAGTGCTATTTGTTTATTCGATTG